GCCAAGAAACGTCTGAAAAGCATAGTCGTGGGTGTGAGAGTGCATCCTGATGAGAGGAGGAAGGAACAAGTGCCGTGGAGGATGGAGACAAAATGGCAGCATCAAAGAAAACTTTGCCCTGATGAAAGAACGTGATGCTTACTATTACAAGACTAGAATTAATACACATTTATGTGATGTACCACAAGGTGCCCTATTTTATTCAGGACACAAATTGATCTATAATGAAGTGATTCTCAAAGTGTGGGCTGCACTTCCTTATATTCAAATCAGCTGTGTTGAAGATACACACAAAATCCAATGAAGCATGTGCATTGTTTCTTCTCCTCCTTATATGATGTTTAGTGCACTTACTATGCTGCACTTATGTAAAGAATAACTCAAAAAAAGTCGTATAGCTATTTTTGACACTTTCATGTTTATTTTTAAGTTGATATTTACCAATAACCATTCTTTTATTACTTATATATCTGCCTTTGCAATCCATTTGATGAAAAAAAAAGTGTTATATTTTTAGAATGTATTATATTCTATGATATATTTTTCATATATTTGAAATGCCATTTTGTATGCCATTTAAATCAATAATTTTTTTACAGAAAAACATGAGAGAACAATGCAGGCCTACTGACAAAAATACTGGCAACAGTTTAAATGGGGAGTGTGACAAAAAATGAAACTATAGACCACTGCTTGCTAAAGAATGTAAACCAGCATAGCAGAGAGGAAGAGGAATGGGGCTATTAACGTGAAGCAAACATCTTGATTATAGCTTAATAAACATGACGATGATGTGTAGAAATTTATGTCAGCACACAAGGCCTGTGGTGATCATTGCATGATGCCATTGGATGAACAAACCCACATTGACATGCAAAGATACAATCAGATGTTCATCATTTACCACATCTAAATCGAATGTAGATCACTAACAAAGCCACATTTAGAGCAATCCTCTACAGTAACTTTCTGCTACCCAGAGCCAGATCAAAGGACACTTTTGTACAATGATTTGTACGGTGGCCGAGAGAGCTCAAGTTCAGAAAACACATGCAAATAGAAAAAACACCAGCAAATTAAGAAAATCTCTTCATCAGTTTGACAGCACATGTGCTCACAACACAATCAAATACAAAAACACGCTGCAAATGCTCACAACACAACCAAATAAAGAAACGGGCTGTAATGCTCACAACACAACCAAATAAAGAAACGGGCTGTAATGCTCACAACACAACCAAATAAAGAAACACGCTGCAAAAACAGAAACGTGCTGCAAATGCTCACAACACAACCAAATATAGAAATGCGCTGCAAAAACAGAAACGCGCTGCAAATGCTCACAACACAAACAAATAAAGATACGCGCTGCAATGCTCACAACACAACCAAATAAAGAACACGCTGCAAAAACAGAAACGCGCTGCAAATGCTCACAACACAAACAAATAAAGAAACGCGCTGCAATGCTCACAACACAACCAAATTAAGAAACGCGCTGCAGTGCTCACAACGCAACCAAATAAATAAACACGCTGCAAAAACAGAAACGCGCTGCAAATGCTCACAACACAACCAAATTAAGAAACGCGCTGCAGTGCTCACAACGCAACCAAATAAATAAACACGCTGCAAAAACAGAAACGCGCTGCAAATGCTCACAACACAACCAAATTAAGAAACGCGAAACGTGCTGTACGTTTCTTTATTTTTATCTGTAGTCTCTGCACTGGTATTTTGAGTCACTCAGCACCTTTGGCCCCTCTTTTGTTTACCACTGAGCCCTGGAGTTTGTTTACTTCCTGTTAGATGAATGGAAGCACAGCCAATCAAACCAGGTCAGCGAGAGAGAAATGAGAAGAGGTACTCTGAGGACCATGAGAAAATATATTGGGCCTGAGAAACTGCCAGCACAGTTTGTTTAGCCTTTATAAAGTTTCTGGGCATTGTCTGAGTGCCGCTGCAGGTGGGATGGATGGAGGGTAGACGAGGTAAAGATTTTCCACTTAAAAGTAACTATTTGGATGGTTATCTATTATCTTGATTATAATTTGTACTAAAACATTTACTTGACGTTTTAAAATATGAATTACTGATTCAGTCTGACTATAAATTAACGTTTAAATGCATTGGTATTCGCTGCATCACATAAATTTGAACTCTGCTTAACCTTCTCGAATCCCCAACGGTGTCTGCCGGTCATGTCACCTCAAATCGCCATCTCTCATTGAAAATAAATTACTTCCAGTTGTTTTGTCACTCCAAATCACTGTCAGTGTGAGCACACCCTAAGAAGTCAGCTGGCCTGTTGGGTAGCATTTGGAAATGCAAGAGATTGTAGGGTGTTTTCAGACAGTGGCTGGATAAAGTATATGCTTCTGTATATTTCTGAATATGTGTTTACATGTGAGTGTATTAAAGGCAAACTACAGCCCCAATCGATCGGTGAAGGATAAGAAGAGACATGCTTCAATATCTTGCCTCTCTTTTTTTTTTATCAACTCATCTCTCTCCTCTCCACTCCTCCTTTTTCAGCTCACCACTCTGATCTTCATTTTCTCCTCTTGCTCTGCTCATCCTTTTTGTCCTTTCTTTTTTGCTGAGAATTTGAGTTTTCTGGAAGAGACAGCTGGTGGACTATGCCCCACTGATTCCTTACCCAGAATCCAATCTGCCCACAGACCACTGAACTCTCTCGCTATCTGTCTGTGTTAAAATGGTTTTTGCCTGTTAATTTTGATTATATGCTTGACCAGCATAAAATAGGGTACGTTCACACTTTCCTTTTTTTGGACTGACAACCGCATTTACTTAGAGGTGTGAGTCTCGAAATGTCCTGGAAATTTGCAGGTGTGAGTTTGGTTATAGAATGCGGTTGTCACTCTCATAAATAACCGTACGGTGTGTGTTAACGTAACTGTATTATGTACTCAAATACAGGACTGACAACCGTATTCTGCTGCTGCGTGAATGTGGCAATAATGAAGTACATTTTGGTTGTAGACAAATTTAAGTTCCAGTCTCAGTACTGGCAGGGATTGTAGGTAGGGGAATGACCAGCGCTCTCTTCCACCCTCAATACAATAACTGAGGTGAGACCCTTGAGCAAGTCACTGACTGAACCCCCAACTGCTCCCCGGGTGCTGCAGCAAAAAATGGCTGCCCACTGCTCCGGGTGTGTCTTCACGGTGTGTGTTCACTACTCACTGATCTGTGTGTGCACTTAGATGGGTTAAATGCAGAGCACGCATTCCAAGTATGGGACATCATACTTGGCCACACTTCACTTCACTTTAGCTATAATTATGGCTAATGGTTTCCATTTGAAATATGTCAAATTTGTTGACTTGACTGCACGGACACTATTGGAAGAGAATTGAACTGAGCTGGACGATGACATCACTGAATCAACAATGAACTGACTTTGATAAACTGACAGTTTTCTGTTTTAATGTCCTCTTGCATTATCAGCCCACGTTTTTCCTGTTTAACACTGTAAAGCTGCTTTGACACAATCTGAATTATATAAAGCACTATATAAATAAAGGTGACTTGACTTGACTGAAAACAGGAAAGATCAAGTGATTTCATGGGGTATTACAAGAGGGAAAAAATTTGAACATGATGACTGGGAGTAACTTATTAGTAAGTTGCAAATTTCTTTGAGAAAGTCATTCCTTCCTGTGTAATTAATTTCTCATTGTTGGATATGATGCAAAAGTAAGGCAATCGAGTACCGAGGGATTTAAATGAAGGCGTACAGTATTTCCTTGAATTAAGGTCATGCTAATTAACCAGGGACTTTTAGGGACTAGCAAAATATAGCTAGATAGGGCTAATGCAGTGACTGGTGATGTTTTTTCATGGCCACATATGATCCGCTGATATGATCCGCGATGACGTTTTCAACTCAATCTAATACTGGATTTTGAGTCTTTTAACAGAAATGTGGCCTACTTCAAATGTGACATTTCTGATTGAAACAGGACATTTAATGAGTAAAAATTGTAGCCTGTTGCTTCAGTGTGTTGGGATGTTTGCCATCACTGCACCTGTTGTTTGTGATGTTGTATCTAGGTGATTTGTATGTTATATGCTGGTGGCTATTAGACTGTGGTGCTATGGGAATGGAAAACCTGAAGCTTCACGATCTACAGAGAGTAGATTTCTGTGAAGATACTCTGGAGCAGCTTAAATTCGGAGTTAAACCAAAGTCCCTTTAAGGCAGGTTTTCCCAAACTGGGGTTTGTGAGGGAACTGCAGGGGTTTGTGAGTTGATGATGTTGATGATGTTGACTTCCATATGGAAAGTCAATGGCTACCGGCAACTGTTTTGTTACCAACATTCTTTAAAATATCTTATTTTGTGTTCAACAGAAGAAAGAAACTCATACAGGTTTGGAACAACACAAGAGTGACTAGATGATGACAGAATTTTCATTTTTGGGTGAACTGTTCCTTTAAGCCAAGTCAGTTCACTTGGTGACCATCTTGGAATTGTTTTTTTTTTCAGTTGCTATATTGAGCGATATAATTTCATATTTTACAAGTACAAATTTTACAATAAATTTTTATGTAACAGAGCACTTCTTCCTTTTCTATTGCTATTCTAATAATGTGCATATGATTTGTCATGGCTCGTAATCCAAATCTTATGTTCAATGCATTATAATGCAACTTTAATCAGCAGCACAGTCATACAAAACCTCACATTCCAAGCTAAATGTTGCTCAGACACTCCCCAAGGAAACTTTGTGATGTCTGTTTGTATGAAGATAGCTAATATTTTCTCTGAAGATTGTGGTAATTGTGATAATGGAGGCAGCTGGGGGATAAACACTCTGATGAACTCGTACTGAAGGGTTACACTCATCCACAGTGGGCACGTTGTTGTTGTTTTTTTTCAGCTGGATGTTGAATAACATTACGTAACCTGTTCTGACGTGGCGGCACTGTAAGAGGCCGCAGCATGCTGACTTTGTTTTCTCCTGTCATTGCAGATCTCGTCATTAGAGTGGCAAAGGATAAATTCGGAGCCATACAATCCGAGTACCAGAAGGTAAGTGCATGTAACTGTGCCTACCTGAACCTCCATGCTATTACGTGCTCCGCCACCGCAGTTAAGTTGAAGGGACATTGTCTCAGTGCATCTATTATGAAACAATATTTTAATTGCATTTGAAAGCCAAGGAGAGAGCCTTGCCCTATTATTGCGTTTATTCTGGAAGAGCTGTTAATTGCTTTTGGCATTATAGCATGTTGTAAACAGAGGAAGAAACTATTTGTTGCTTTTTAATAACAGAGTTTAATTAAACAACAGCTCTTGCTTTGAAGTTTTAGTATCTTACTCCTGGGTACAAACAAACATATGGGGCAAAACTTAATGAATCAGTTTCATCGACATTTCTTGTGATGGTGAGAGGAAATGTGAGTTCAGAGATGCACAGCCACCTCAATTTATCATTATTATATATAGTTCTCAGCAAACAGCCCTATATTATATTATATTATATTATATTATTGAAAGAAATTAATACTTTTATTGAGCAAGGGCACATTATATGATCAAAAGTGACATTTAAAACTTTTACATAATTTTTTTTTAAATCCATTTCAAAAAATGCTCTGTTCATCCAGCAGCACTACTGTTCTCAAATGTAATAATAGTAAGACATGTTTCTTGAGCACCAAATCTGCATGTTAGAATGAAAATTCAGCTTTGCCATCACATGAATAAATTACATCTTCAACTATATTAAAATAGAAAACAGTTATTTTAATATTTCACAATATTAATGTTTTACTCTATTTTTTATTTTAAAAAAGACAGCATTTGTGAATATAAGAGTCTTCTCACAATTGCCAACTACAAACTATATATGCAATACATATAGATATAATTAAATTTTGTATATTTTTATAATAAAGGATCATCACTTAATTGAGTAATTTAAGCTTAATTTAAATGAGAATTTAATACAATTTCACAAGGCTGAATAACGATAATTTCTAAATGGCCAAATATCAGTCTGTAATCATATTCACTCATTCTTTTCAGTTGTATTATGCTCTGCTCTTGTAACACTTAAGAATATGGAGAGATGGATATGGATGTGACTGTTGGCCAAATCCATGATTCACTCGATCTCTGGGACTGTCAAAATGGGTCTGGTTCCCATTACAGATGGGAATGTTCTTTCTAGTTCTTAAGTGATTTTATTTGCCATTTGTTTGACTGTTTATTTGATTTTGCTTACCATCTGTTCTGTTCTGTTTTGTTTTATTTTTTTGCTGATCTGCATGCACATCATCATCTGGCGCCTCCCAGCCAGAAAACATTGTTCTGACGCTACAGGTAATGTGTGTGTCCTGCTAGCAGTGTCAAGGGCCAAACCAGACCCAAGTCTCACCACCCTCATTCCTTAGTTACACCTAACCCTTGCAAAGCCCAGCCCTGCACTCATTCTGTTCACATGTCTGTTTCAGTCTAATCTTGACCGTGGTTGTGTCATCCATGTGGAACGCTTAGAAACATTAGACTGATTTAAAAATTGCAGTATATTTAAAATTAATAGATTTTTTACATACTGAAATTATTACACTTTTTTGCCACTTTCACACAGCAGCAGAATACGGTTGTCAGTCCTGTATTTGAGTCCTTAATATGGTTACGTTCACTCACAGTACGGTTATTTTCAGGCGTGACAACCGCATTCTGTAACCAAACTCACACCCACAAATTTTCAGGACTCGTAACTGCATTCTCAGAAAACACGCACTGTGTGAAATGCAACTGGTTTGGACAACTAGTTGTCTGTCTCATCATTCAGTGCGACAGAGAGCCGCTCTGCTGCTCAAACACGTGTCTACTGTGTGTTGCAGGTTTTCATGTGGTTTCGGTAACTTACAGATATGCAGATATGAGCTGTGTGTCATCTAAAGGTTTTAGATTCAGTCACTGTTCTTCTCCACCGGTGCTGAAGTTGACTGGATCTAAACCTTCAGATGAAACACAGCTCATATCTGCATATCTGTAAGTTACCGAAACCACACAGATGGTAGACACGCATTTGTGCATCGCAGAGCAGCTCTCTTGCACTATATGAAATGACGGACAACTATTGCTTGGGTTTTCGAGAATACTGTTGTGAGTCCTGAAAATTTCCAGATGTGAGTTCGGTTATAGAATGAGATTGTCACTCCCGTAAATAACCGTACTGTGTGTGAATGTAACCATATTAAGGACTGAAATACAGGACTGATAACCGTAATCTGCTGCTGTGTGAACGTGGCCACAAACGGTATTTGTGACGCTACTGTAAGTTTCTGTGTGAACGGGACATTTCGAGACTCTCACCTATAAGTAAATGCGGTTGTCAATCCCAAAAACTGACAGTGTGAACGCAGCCTTTCAGGGCTTTTGCTATTTATTAATAGCATGATAAAATGACCCTAGTAATCTTACATTGTCCTCTAGAGTTTCAGAAGTGATCTCGCAGCTCTAAATGAACATTACACTTTTATTACAGTTTATTACTTTTATTACTGGGAGTATGTTCATTTAAATTTTTTCTTGTCCATCCTATATTAAAATCGCAGGTATTAAATTCCTCTTTCATCTCTGTAATTGGTAAGATGATCACAGATACACAAATTTCCTCATCTTAAGCTGTCTGTAATTTTTAGCTCAGCCATGACCCAGTAAGAGGAGTGTGACTACGCTAGCAGGAATGATGTCAACCCTAGATGAACCCGTCTAAAGCTTTAATATGCTGATACGAGAGAAGCACATTAGATGGTCAGTGAGAGGGAATGACCGTTCATAGTAGAATGGTCAATAACCTCATGACCTAAGTGTTATGCTATAGCCTATGTGTGAAGTCCCCCATGATAGTCTTAGCTGCTAAGCTTTTGTGTCATTTCCAAAAAGACTTTCAGTTCTTACTCACAGAGGCGTGAGGGGAAATGAGCTTTTAAAACCACCTTTAGAGAATTTTAAGTATGGAAAGTCTCAACCCTTGAGGAGAAGCGAGGGTATTTGGTGACAGACAAAGCCTCTGGTTTATTCAGCGGATTAAGCTTATCCACAGGATAGCCGGGGGACAGCCCAGCTCATTCAGAAATGTCCATAATGCCACAGGATGTGTGCAAATAGATTCAGTGGCAACATATGGAAAAAGTGTTTAACATTATTCCATCATGTTACATACGGCATGGGAATTTTGCAGAGCATGGTTTAATTTCCCTCACTTCAAAAGCCCTTTAATGGAAGGATTTGGAGACAAGAATATTTGCTTTACTTGAAAAAGAGTGCAAAAGCTTCCATGTATTGTTGCATTTTTTGAAAAAAATATAAAGTGTGAAAATATTTTGTAGCTCATTTAAATATACCTTAGCGTTCCTTTTTAAAAAATGGTCGGTGATCATTTAAAGAAATAGTTATCCCAAAAATTAAAAATTGCTGAAAATGTACTCTTCCTCAGGCAATGTATCATGATGTACATGAGTTTTCTTCATCAGAACAGATTTAGAGAAATTTAGCATTACATCACTTGTTCACCAATGGATCCTCTGCAGTGAATGGGTGCCATCAGAATGAGAGTTCAAATAGCTGATAAAAAAATTACAATAATCCACAAGACTTCAGCATCTTGTGAAGCGATAAGCTGCAAGTTTATAATAAAAAAAAAAACATCATTAAGATGTTTTTAACTTCAAACCATTGCTTCTGGCTGAAATACCAGTCCTTTATCCATAATATTGTTTGAAACAATCTCATCTACATCTTGGAAGGCCTGAGGGTGAGTATATTTTCAGCTAATTTTCATTTTTGGGTGAACTATTCCTTTAATGTCTGTACAGTGCAGTGCTCATTTTGTGTAATTGATTATTTTAAAATGATCGCTCTCCTTCCTTCCTTCCTTTTATCGATAGAACTAAACCTGTATAACTTTGGTTTCCTGGATGCAAATGAAGCCTTAACTGAGATTTATTTGCCTGAACTAATCTGTATAACGTTGTGTTGTGTGCAGGTGATTTATTATGAGATTGGTTTTGTGGTGTGCACGGCACTGGGCCTGCTGTTCACCGTGCTGCTGCCGTTGGTGGGGCTTCTCTTTTGTTTGTGCCGCTGCTGTGATAACTGTGGAGGAGAAATGCACCAGAGACAGCGGAAGAACGCGGACTGCCTTAGAGGATTGCTGACCACACTGTTACTCACCACCACCTTCATTATCACGTAAGTTTTTGTGTTTGTCTGATTGTGCATGTGTGATTGCATGTGTAACCTTTAACACAGTAAAGGCCCGTTCAAGGACGATAACTATAACAATAACGATAAAGATACAGTTTTATATAAAAGCATAGATAGAGTCCACACCACCATTTTCAATTTTTTTTTTTTTCAAAATTAACAACCAATCAGATTGGAATCCATCCTGCTTTAAAGAGCTTGAGGCAGATGACACAACTACAGCATGTGCTTATAATAAACAGAACGCTGCCATGCATTGGTGTGGATGTTAATATAGTTATCTTTATATTTATTGTTCATAGTGTGAACAGGCCTTAAGGCTCTCTTCCAAAACCTAGTGTGCTGCCTGCACACTAAAATGAATATGCAGTATTTTAAGGTTTCATGAGCACAGATGCAAAGGCTATTTCAAAAAGTCTGTTTCAAAGGCAGCTTAGTAGGTTTTTGGAACAGAGCCTAAATAATCAAAAGCAAACTCAAAGCTGATGATACTTTCAATAAAAGACCTCAACAAGACACTTTCGAGCTTGCAGGTAATCTTCCTGTCCTAAAAGTGCCATGTTCTCGAAGACATATTGTAGACAAGTGTACACTCCAGGAAGAAATACAGCAAAACTGCACAAAAGCAGGAACTCCAGGAACTAGCAACGGCAAACTTAATAGAGTGTTTGATGTTCCTCTGCTTTATGCATTCAGCCGGCTGGCTCTTTATTAAAAATTCCATAGCACATGCCTGGCTGCCTGGAGATGGGCATGTCTCCTCATGTAAAAACCTCCCAGGATTTCAACCTTCATGATTCTAATGAAGCCGTAACAGGGGCCACTCTACACACTCCTCTCTTCAGTGCTATATTAAAGCACATCGATCTTGTTCAAATGTGAGGCAAGCGCCACCTAGTCTCTTAGTGGGAAATTTAACTGAAAATCATTCAAATGTTACGTGATTGTCCTGAGAGGACTCTCACAGAGAGGTCATGGAAAATTGCTTGAGTTTGAAGCATCTCCAGGGGAAGTTATGAGTTGGACACCGTCTCATGTGTTTGGATAGGTGCTTGAATAGTGTTTTTCTTAGTGGTGGTAGAAACCAGGGCAATTGTTCTGAAGTTTCATTGACCTGTGTTGTCATTTATCGTTTTCAAACTTTAAAATTTTATTAAAATTGCTTGATAAACTCAGGCAACTTTTCTCCGGGTTTTGCTGTTTTTTCTCATAAAACATTGGGCATAATTTAGGCTTGATGAATAATTTAAGAAATTACCCAATTATGCCAAGAAAATTCCTCATTAGTGCCATCTCACTCTTAAGAGAAAAACAGCATTTATTAGGGGCACTGTCAACCGAGTCGTGAACACAATGGTGTGATGGTCAAGCAACATAACTGCTTGAGGTGTTTTAGTTCATTTCTTCTAACACTTTATCATACGGTCTTCCAGACTTTAGATCACTGGCATTCATGACTATCTGTTTGTTATATGATTAACAAGCATAATTCAGTTGGCTGCGAGTAGTTTCATGTATGCGACTTCATAAAAGATTATCTGTCCTAAATATATACTATTATGTATGCGATTATATACTATTTTATATTTATTTCTGAAAGGAGTCACTTATGCTTACCAAGGCTGCATTTATTTGATAAAAAATACAGTAAAACAATAATATGGTGAAATATTATTACAGTTTAAAATAACTGGTTTCTATTTTAATATATGTTCAAATGTAATTTATTCCAGTGATGAAAAAGCTGAATTTTCAACTGCCATTTTTCCAGTCTTCAGTGTCATATGGTCCTTCAGAAAATCTCACTCTTAAGAGAAAAACAGCATTTATTAGGGACACTGTCAACCGAGTCGTGAACACAATGGTGTGATGGTCAAGCAACATAACTGCTTGAGGTGTTTTAGTTCATTTCTTCTAACACTTTATCATACGGTCTTCCAGACTTTAGATCACTGGCATTCATGACTATCTGTTTGTTATATGATTAACAAGCATAATTCAGTTGGCTGCGAGTAGTTTCATGTATGCGACTTCATAAAAGATTATCTGTCCTAAATATATACTATTATGTATGCGATTATATACTATTTTATATTTATTTCTGAAAGGAGTCACTTATGCTTACCAAGGCTGCATTTATTTGATAAAAAATACAGTAAAACAATAATATGGTGAAATATTATTACAGTTTAAAATAACTGGTTTCTATTTTAATATATGTTCAAATGTAATTTATTCCAGTGATGAAAAAGCTGAATTTTCAACTGCCATTTTTCCAGTCTTCAGTGTCATATGGTCCTTCAGAAATCATTCTAATAAGATGATTTTGTGCCTTAATAAACATTTCTTACACTTATGTTGAAAACGTCTCGGTTACGTATGGTAACCCTCGTTCCCTGAAGGAGGGAACGGAGACGTCACGTCGGTGACCGACGAATTGGGATATCACTTCGATAGACCAATCTACTTCGAGTGTAAACTAAACGAGCCAATGCACATTGGCATGCAATTATTGCATCCAGCTGCCGCTGATCACAGAGTGAGTATAATAAGGCAGCAGGTGCAATGCATACCAGGTTTTCACTGAGGAGCCGAGCCGGCGGCAGTGGTACAGCAACCGTGGCGCTGGGACGTGACGTCTCCGTTCCCTCCTTCAGGGAACGAGGGGTACCATACGTAACCGAGACGTTCCCTTTCAGTCGGTCACTCCGAGTCACGACGGCGACCGACGAATTGGGATCCCTACCAAAGCGCCATGGTGCTGCCCCTTCCAGTGCCCTGTGTAAGCTGCTTACGCCCCTATCTGGTGTAGGTCAGGGCTCAGGACAAGTAGTTCCACTCACCATTTTTCAAAGCACTACCTTACTGAGTGAGATTGGATAACACTGGGAAAACGTACCTGCTCCACTTGGAACAGGGATGCTGCGGAAGCCCCATCATTCCCGAAGGAGTTTTCGGAAGCAAATACACATATAGCATCCGCTTAGGTGTATATGGAGAACTGGAGGTGATTGTAACCCTCTTGGAAAGGCAGAAGTCTGCCGGGGAAACACGGGCTCTATGGCTATACCGTGGACTATACACATACGAGAACCGCTTAGGTCTCAATATGGAACCCAGCCTTCCACGGTTCCCGCGGATTCATCGT